ATGGAACGGAGGGAGTAATATAATTTCTTAAAAATACTTTTCTTTTTGTATAAGCAATTAATGCCATCGATCTCAAAACAACTAAGTAAGTGGGGACAAATTTAACACTATCCATAAAAGAGTTGACAATGTGACATCAAATATTACTCTACCATCCTGAATATAATATAATTGTGAACCTGGACTTGGTAAATATTTCCCAACAAAAAAATTAGAAGACACATATTTTACTTTTACACAAACAAAAAATGTTCTTGTATTGAGATTTTAATTACCATTGATATAAACTGATAATAGAGCATGTTATATGTCTTTAAAATTTTAGAAAATATGTACTACTTTCTAGTTAACGCTATGTGAGTCTTGTAGAAAGAAAAATTTAAAAAAAAAAAAATTAAAATTGTAAAACCATACAGAATCTAGCAAGAATATATGACGAACTATAAAATTCTACGTTGAAAAACTAAGAGCATCTTTAACCTTGATATCCATTAAAGTGTCTTAAGTCATTTTTTAATATTATTTTTTTAAGATCTTTGTCTTAAGATTCAATACATAGAATCTTTCTCATCAAAATTCATAAAAATTTATTATATTTTGAAAAATTTACTTAGAATAAACTACTTTTTTAAAAAAATAGTTAAAATAACCTTACCATTTTTTTATTGATGAAATAACTTATTCTGGATTTTTTTTCTTTCATAATACCAAAATTGTCCTTGGCAGACTCTGCCGAGGTATTGGCAAACTCTGCCGAAACATTGGTAGATTCTGCCGAACATTGGTAGACTCTGCCAATGTTCGGCAGAGTCTGTCAATATTATGGCAGAGTCTGCGTATTTCTAGATATTGGCAGAGTCTGCCAATATATCGGTAGAGTTTACCAATGTTTCCGCAGAGTCTGCCAATATTTTGGCAGAGTCTATGTATTTTTAGATATTGGTAGAGTCTGCCAATACATCAGTAAAGTCTGCTAATACATCGGTAGAGTTTGCCAATAACTCGGTAGAATCTGCGAATGATAATTTTAGTATTATAAAAAAAAAAAATTTAGAATAAGTTATTTCAACAATAAAAAAATAGTAAAGTTATTATAGCTATTTAAAAAAAAAGTTATTCTAGCTAATCTTCTTTATATTTTAATGAAAAAATGTTAAAACACCCAAAATAAATCATCATTAATGATGCTCTAATAGAGAACGGTGAAAGTGGGACTAGTGTCTCGTTTGTTTAAAGACAAAAATGGTTGGATAAGAACAAATTGATGAATGAAAATATAGATTGGTGAGAATGAGGCAAATATTATTACAATTCCATACAAACTTCMAAGGGACATTTATAAAAATGTTATTTTTGTGTCTATATTTGCAAAAATGCCACTTTTAGTTTTTATTTGTAAAAATACCACT